TGGCTTCTTCTGATATCTCCTCGCCCAGCGCAGAGGAGATCAATGAACGGTAAGAAGAAGCTTCTAAGCCTCCTGACCTAACATAATCAGAATTACTATGATCATGTCAGAGTTCGTTCAGAAAAATCAAATCCAGGAAGCACACACAGATAACTGATTCAGCTGGATTCATTAACTTCTTTATATACATAATAACAGATGAATAAATGTACAATACCAATAGTAGATTCTTTCTACTGGTAAAAGTTACAAGCAGAACACAAGCAGGAGAGAACAGTTAGTTTCATTTCAGAGTTTCAGAGCAGACAGACAGGTTTAGACTAGTTTACTTCTCAGAGCAGCAGACTCAGAGCTTACAGACTAGTGTCAGTTTCAGTTCTCAGCTAAGCGACGCCCAGACTCCAAGCTTAAGTTTCTGTTTCCAGACGGCCCTCATTGGTTGACCCAGTTGCTATGCCTATTCATTGACTGATCTATTCTAGTCTATGAATATTCATACTCTGACATATCATAATACAGCAAACCATGGCCATAAAATGCCCTCTTCGGCCATTGTGAGACACATACTATCTATGGGCCGCCAGGTGGATCCAAACTGCATTTAAAGTTTTACTATGCCACAGGAACACTTGTTTCCTACCTTTTGCTGAGGCTGTTGCCATTAACCATTTAAAGCATCCCTTCTGCTTGCAGAGGCAGCCTTATGTCAATCTATGCCTCCCGTGGGCATAAGACTTGTCATTGGTTGTTTTCATGTCAATCTGCCTCCTGTGTGCATAAGGCTTGTCATTGGTTGCTTTTTTGCATACATTATAGGCTTAATTAATGCTCTTGCTAAATCTTATATTTGAGGCTAATTTTCATCCGTGTTCTTGTAAGGTAGGTACTGATGAGTCAATATGAAATGCTTGCATTTACCTCTGTTCGTCTTTTGACTATTGTTTAAATTATTAAAAAGGGGCTGTTTTAAATAATCAGAATTGAGAACTAATGAGGAACATCTTGCTTCATAGTCTATGGTAGCTTCATTATCGTACCCTGAAGGAGCACTTTCCTGGGGTGGAATGATAATAAAAGTTGAGCCTCAGCTGAGCTCAAGAGATTATCTGAGAAAGAAACCAACTTCGAGGAGCCAAAGAGACAGAACAAGACCAGGAATTAATATTCGTTATTATTTAATGCCCCCTGTTTCGGTTTGTTGGTTTTGTTAGAGTTTGTTTGTTGACCTACCATCTTACCCCAAGTTAATCCTGGGCGAGTTTAAAAAAATGTGGTATTTTTGGTGTCAGCTGCCTGTTGTTGTAACATTTATTTAATGTTTGTTACTGTAATTGTATTTTCTTTTAGCTATGTATTCCATCCAGAGGTCCTCTAGAATTAGGCGGCTAATATGTTTTAAATAAATATCCTGTTCCCCTGAAAATAACCCCTCCCCAAAAACATTGCCACACAGCAGCAGCCATGAGGTGACCACGCTCGCCGCCTCCTGAATCTCAAAAATAATGAGGCCTTTCCGAAAATAAGGCCAAGTGCTTATTTCGGGGGTCAGAAGAAAATAAGACCCTGTCTTATTTTCGGGAAACACGGTAATAACAGGTGGACACAGTAGTGTGTTGAAATTTCAGCTCCCACAAACACAAAAGCCTTGTTCTAGGAAATTTCCCCAGCTTTATGACAAACAGCAAAATACTTAATTAGACCACAAAATCTTTTATTAGATCGTTGTCCTGCCTGACAAAAACAGTGGTTTCTTGTACAGCTGTCCTGTGCTGCCCATAGACAATAAAATCAAGTTATGCATAGAGCAGTGTTTCTCATAGAGACCAGTTGACTTGGAGAAACTGCAAGACATTTAACATTTAATTATTATTATTATTATTATTATTTGGGGTTCAGCTTCCTGCAGACGCTTTCCGAAAGCATGATGGGGAGAGACCTGATTGAAATGTCTCCCTACCAGAAAGAGCTGGCTCGTCTCCGACTCGAGTGCCTGCGTGTGGAAGAGGGCTGGCTGTTGGAATTAAAGAGGCAGCAGGAATTGGAACGAACCCGTGGCCCCCGGCCCAAGTGGTGAGGACATGTTCTCCGAGCAGTGGTGGGGTTCAAATTTTTTTACTACTGGTTCTGTGGGCGTGGCTTTGTGGGCGTGGCAGGGGAAGGATACTGTAAAATCCCCATTCCTCCCCCAACCCACTAATCTGCTTTCCAGCTCCGTTCTCCTGATCAGGGCAACAAAAGATCAGCTGGGAGGCAGCGGGGGCGGGGCCAGCCTATCTGCCGGTTCTCCGAACTACTCAAACTCTCCACGACCGGTTCTCCAGAACCTGTCAGAACCAACTGAATAGCACCTCTGTCTCCGAGGCTTGGGCCGGGCCTATAAATTCTTTGGATCGGGTGCTGAGAGTAGATTCATCAGGGCCAGGGGGAAATCTGGTGAGATTTGTTGGATCCATGAGATTTGGGACATATTAATCCAGGGGTTTCGTGCGCAATGTTCATTTGTAAGCAGAGAGCCCTCAGCGGCATGAATCCAAGCCCATTTCTCCTTCCTTCCTTGTGGGTTTTAGGTACGAAATGAGGGACTCTCAATTCCACTACGAAGCCCACAAGAACAGCAAACTTCTAAGAAGCAGCCCAGAGATACAGTCGGTCTTCGATTATAGGGAGGCGCTAGCAAGAGCATCGAAAGAGTTCCAGCAGCAACAGAAGCCCACTCCCACCTCCCTCAGGGCCTACTGGTAAACAGCCTATGGAGACATTGGGCATCAGAGGAGATAGAAGAAAGGCAGGTTAGGATCAGCAGGGCTTTCCTCTGTTCCCAGTGAATAATGGCTTGTTTTGGGGGGGAGACAGCGGTGTGATTCCGAGTGTCCAGTCCGGTCATTTGTATGCCTTCTTGATCACTTAGAGCTGATTTAAACTTTGAGAAGTGCCACAGGACAGGGTCTCTTTAGAAAATGAAATGAAGAGCAACGATTCCTTGCTAGAGAAAGAGGTAACCGGATATCCTGGTTTACTGGGGAGAATTAAGGCAAAACATCGGACATCTCTTTCTCAAAGGCAATTGTTTTCTGACTTGGTGTGTACAGCTTTGATGTGCGTGTGTGCCTTTTTTCGAGAAACAATCTGATTGTTATTGCCTGCAGTCTCAAACTAGTTTGGCAAAGGACATTCACTCTGGATTTTCTCTCATTTGCTTTAATTTTTTGATTAGGATGGCACTGTGAATTAAAAAAAAATTGATTACTTATCAAAAAATCTTTGGCTCAAACAAAAAATTATATTACGCTAGAAGAAAAAATATGTACGTTTTCCATCTTTTATTGAATGCTTTGATACTTGGTTGCTTTCCTATTTCAGTGGTAGTTTTTAATATTTTTTTGAGGTTCGTTTAATTCTTAGACTTGCAAAGAGAAGATATCTAACCTGTTACTGACATGTCAGAGAGGTTCTAGATATATGTATCTTTTATTGAAGCATTTTTATGGCTGGCCCACAAGCATTTTGGTATCCTCCTTGGTGAGTAACCACAGAAACTATCTTGACATGGAATAAATCCAATCGGGATCAAAACTGTCCTCTTCCTAACAAGAATTACTCTATGATTAATTATCCTCATTGATCAGTCGTGCCTGTGCCTTGAATTTTTGAGTGAAAAAACAAAGTTAATAGAGAAGATTCCTTTGAAATAGCTATTCGACCCAGCTTTCCCAAACTTCTTTGCACATTTACAGAATCTTTTATCCCTACGGATAATCCCTTATAACCTAATAGGATCGCATTCCTGAGTACATAGGTTCTGAAACATTTGCATTTTATCCAGTTTCATACTTAACAATTTGCCGGTTGACCAGAAATTCCGTACTGGTTGAGGATGGATATCTTTCTTTGCCAATCAATTTTGTTTGTAGAAGCTTTCTTACCTGATTTTGCTAGCTCCTTCAATGGAATTGTATTTCTTTTTTATTATTATTGTTTTCAAACTTGGGAGATTTGTAATTGGTCTTCTACATTCCCTGTACAAACGTCATTACACCGACAATATCCTAACAAGCCAAAAAAATATAGACCAGCCAATTAACAAATCTCTTCCCTCCCTTTTTAAACTTCTACTCTACACACACACACACACACACACACACACACACACACACACACACACTGATTGCATGGCTGTTTACATACTTCTGTAGGCTTGATCTTTCCTGCCATGACACAGGATCTGATTGCCCTCAAGTACCCTGCAGGAAATTAAATCTCTCTTTCTTTCCCCAGTTTCTGCTCTCAAAAAAAAAAAAAAAAAATCTCATGTCAACAGATCACGATGTTCCCGAGTCTCATTCCTTGAAAACAAACCGTGACTGCCATGGCATTCATTGCATTCGGTGGGACCGCATCCAACAGAGGGAGGGAAAAAATATTCAGAATTACTTGGCTCGTTTGTTCTCTGTTTAATTCACCTTATTTCAAAGGATACATGACAATGTTGCTGCTGGAGTAAGCTGAGGAGAGAGAATGGCTACTGCATTAGTAAAACGGTACATGAAAGAATTATGGAGAAAATGAAATGGTTTCCAACTGTCACGCGCACATTCTGAAGCAGGAATGAAAGCTTTTCGGGTTTCATTACAACTAGCGACAAGCCACAACATTACTTGCATTATTACAATTGTCCCTTTTTAAAAAAACAAACAAACACCTGTCTTTCTGTTAACTAGTTTGGACTGAGAAATTTCACTGTTGTCTGGGCTAATTCAATTCTCATGCAGATGGAGGCTCCCACAATGAAACAGTTAAACAAAACATGCGTGGAAAATAAGCATTTCGGCTGAACTTCATCCTGAGGAGCTGGTGGTCCAAGATGCAGTGATTTATGGTAGAGATTTTCTGGTTGTATATTTTAGGTTCACCATCTCCAGCTAGCTGCTCCACAAATCGATTGGAGTCCGCCTCCAAGGATGGTCAGGATAATACTGTATTATCCTGGCCCTAAGCTCCAATTGTCTGGCAGTGCTGTATAAACTGGTCAGGTTATGGTCATTTGCAAACTACTGGCCCCCAAAGGGCCGACATGGCTAGGGAACAACGTCTCCGGCGCCCATCGCTTTACATAAAAAAGTGCTTCAGATTGTGTCTTCTGAACTGTGCATGTGATTTTGCTGGATGATCTCGGGTGTGAGGCAGCCCAGCCACCTCTCTCACATTTCCAGAAAAGTGCAATATTTCTTTTGCATAGGCCACTGTTCAATTCACCGATGGATCCAGCCATGTGTAATGCTCCCTCTCTACATTTGCGCAATATACGTTACCTTGTTCCCAAAGATGTTCTGAGCACCACAGCTACCCTTTGATATCTATCTTTATCTCTGTTTACCAGGTAATTGTCTCTAGTATCTATGGCGGGGATGCTTCACTTTACTTCTCTGAATGGTTGCATTCTCTCCCCTCCCCCCAAAAAATTATTTTTGCTGCCACCCAAAATAGACTGGGATGAAGCAAGTTCATTGGCCTATTAGTTTACTGTTCAGTAACCGTATCTGTCGATTTTATTCAGTCACATATTATGTCCTGCCATTGCCAAGCCCGTGGTCCTGATCCACCTAATTTCTTGGAATGTGGATCCTGGCCCCACAACTCAAAGGTTAACGTGAGCTTGAAGAAGAGTTTTACATCTTGGCAGTCTTTAACTATTTGCTTCCAAGGACAGAGCAAATGTGCATAAATAAAACAGGAAATATCCTTGGCTTTGCTCTCCGTTCTCCCTCCGTCTCAAGGAAATCTTTGGAATTCTATTATAGGTGCTTCATTCAATGACAACAGTGTTCAACAGATTTTGGGCCACCACCTTGGACAATAACCAAGGAATCATTTGGGATCTGCCTTGTGCTTCTAATTCCCCCACACACACACACCCATCCCAACCAAACTGCAATCACTTTTGAAGCAGACGGACAGTTCTTAGAATTCAGAATGCAGATTAGAAGGTGAAGGGTCTCACTTGCAGGTGAGAAAGGAACCAAGATCTTTTGCTTATTCTCCTCCCTCCCATTTCATACAAAACACAAATAAATAACAATGCAAAAGAAGCTGGACTTGAGTCTTTCGCTGCCATTCCAAGGAAAGGAAAGGAAATTCCGTGAGCAAAAAGTCATTTTTTTTCCCTAGCAACATCCAATATCCCTGTGAAGCTGTTTTCTGTAACCGAGCCAAATTGGGGGGTGGGGGTGGACTTTTGTAGGCAAGTCAGTTGCAAAAGAGAACAGGGTGGGTAGCCAGAGGTTAAAAAGACTTGGGGCTGTAGCCTCCCTCTTCCTGGTGTCCTGATAACTTTGTCCCAGGCTGTGTCCTTGTCTTCTGACCCACAAAAACTTAGTTCACAAATTCTCACGCTTTCTTCCGGTTCCTGTAGCTACCTGCGGCTGAAGCTGCGAAGAGAAAGAACCAAAGAATCAGCGTCCTATGGACAAATAAAGGTTGCCTCGCAAGTCTCTTATTTGCAGAATAAGCTGAAGCAGGAGAAAAGTTTGCAAGTAGCTATATATATATATAAAAGAAAAGAAAACGCGGGAAGTACGGTAGCATATTTCACAGGGAACTTTCCTGGGACAGCCACCAGGGGGAGCACGTTCCTTGCAAATTCCTTATCTGAATCTGAATTTCTTAATCTGCTCCATGCTGAATTGTGTGGCTGCGTTTGGGATTTAAAAAAAAAAAAAAAACTTGTGCCATGTTTCTTCCTCCTGCTTAAAACTGGAAATGAAATTATCGGTTTTCTTCCTGGCACAACTAGAGACCTTCGGAAACAGAAGTCCCAATTTTCTTAGAAGAAAAAACTAAATTTCTCAGGCCACCTTACACTTATTCTAAGGAGCCATGGAAAAACTTTGTCCTGACCTCCAAACCGTTGTCTTTCTTCCTCTCTGCTCTATTTGGTTAGAATATCTCTTTAAAAAATTCATTCAAATAGGCTCAGCAACCATAGACCGTGTTTCCCCGAAAATAAGACAGGGTCTTATTTTCTTTTGACCCCTGAAACAAGCATTTGGCCTTATTTTCGGGGAGGCCTTATTATTTTAGAGGTAGGAGGTCCCTCAAACTTGGCCTGTGGATAAGCTGATCCAGAGAGGGCCGGAGGTTCTCTCTCTGTTTCTGGCACACACTTGCCAGCCTTACCGTCGCTGGGCTTGCCGTTCTTTTTGTGGCCACCACTAAGAGAAGGGGCATGGTAGCTAGGGTTTGCGGCAGGTGCATGTGGGGCGCATGGGGCCTGTTTCCCCCTTTCCCCCCCCCCCAGGAAATGCCAGGGACCAGCTACGTATGCGTTTAAATATTTTAGGGGTGGGCTTATTTTAGCGCATGCACTCAAAAGCCCGATTTGGCTTATTATCCGGGGAGGTCTTATTTTCACGGTACAAGCAATGGTGCATTTAAAAAAATAGCAAGGACCCCTCCTCTCTCACATTGCAGCCTGCTTTGTCTACCCCTCCCTCAATCCTAGAGATACCAAGGTCAATCAATAGGCAACAGAACCTAAATTACTTCCTTTCCTGTGTCTCTTACCAGGCTGCCGATGGACCATTCGACACAGTCCTTTCCCAGGATGGGTTCTGTAGACAGGCTTCACACACACTTTGTTGTTGCTGCCAGGGGTCAGGTCTGACAGCAGAACGCTGTGGATCTGTGATGAGACGCTGAGGAGGGTTGAAGGGCCAGCTTGCCGCCGACACCGAACACGGTACCCCAACACATCTCCTCCTGCTGAATCCCAGGAGGCCTTTACAGAGCTGGGGCTCAGATCTTCAAAATGGAGGTGCTTTATTTTGTAGTAGTCTGTCCATTGGAGAAAAGGAAAGCAAAAAGAATGAGGATGATGCATGGGCCTTCTCCAGGCCGAAACAGGGAAAAGAAAATCACAATTGGTGCTGGGATTAGCCAAGCGGGCAACCTAGGAGGAAGTTAGGCGAGGGATGTTGGCAGTTGTAATACTAATCAAAAGAGAAAAATCCACCAGCTTTATTCTGCAGCTCTTTAGGATCCTAAGTGTGCCCAGTTCTTCTGTCAGAGTGTGCGCAATGTGATTATGTGAAACAACCCAGGAGCAAATACAGTAAACAGAGTTTTGTATTTAAATAGTGGTTTTATCTACAAAGGCTATATACATACACATACTTTAGTCAGATCTCAAACAATCAGCAATTACAGCACGAAAGCACACATGGAAGAAGAGATATGCCCCAACTCTTCTTATTACAGGCTCTTAAAGTGATATGGGCCCAAAAACCTTGCTGACTCATTCCTAGCATTACAGCATCGTAGCAGCTGGCCAGCTCTTAAATCATTACCCTGACATCTTCCCTCCCTCCTTCCTTCTTTCCTGCTCACCTTCCCGTGTGCAGGCTTTGGCTGAGAGGGCTTTCTCCTTGCCAGACTTATAAATGGCGGAGACCGTCACCAAGTAGCTGGTGTTGGCCAGGAGGTTTTCCAGCACGGTGCTATTGAGCCTCCCGTCCACCTCTTGCAGCTGGACCAAGTTGTCGTTCAGGGGGCCGTACATGACTTGATAGGCAGCCACGCTCTCGAGGATGGGAGACCAGCTGACCCGGAAGCTGTGGGGTTTGGACTCCGAGATAAGAATCTGGGCTGGGCTGACCACATCTGTGGGGAGAAGCAATGCAATAAAATTAAAAAGGGGACTTGATCAAAGCGATCTGCAAAATAGGCGCTACCTGTATTCTTGTGACAACAATTTTTACCGAAGACATTTTTCACCTGAGAAAAGGAGTACAAATGATAAAAAAGAAATAACACTGAACAGCTAAGAAGGAAAAATGCCTCCTGATCTTTCTGACAGCCCTTACAAATGTGCAGAGTCCTTGACTTACGGCCGCAGTTGAGCCCAACATTTCTGTTGCTAAGCGAGACAGTTGTTAAAGTGAATCTTGCCCCATTTTACGACCTTTCATGCCACTGTTGTTAAGTGGATCGCCGCACTTGTTAAGTTAACAGCACGCTTGTTAAGAGAATCTCGCTCAGAAAGTCGCAAAAAGTGATCACATGACCCCTGTTGCAGGAACTGGGTGTGTCTAGTTTAATGAAAAGAAGGACTAGGGGAGACATGATAGCAGTCTTCCAATG